AAAAAGCCTATGAAAAAGCCTATGAAATGTACCAGGGGCATCTCATGGGGCCCCCTACTGACCCCGGGCCCTCGGGCAGTACCTGAGTGCCTAAATGGTCAGTCTGCCCCTGCAACCACATGTTACCAACCTTTGGCTTGTTCCTTGACTACACTTCCGCACAATCCCAACCTGCAACTGCATGTTACCAACCTTTGGCTTGTTCCTTGACTACACTTCAGCTCAATCCCAACCTGCAACCACATGTTACCAAACTTTTGCTTGTTCCTTGACTACACTTCAGCTCTATCCCAACCTGCAACCACATGTTACCAACCTTTGGCTTGTTCCTTGACCATACTTCAGCTCAATCCTAACCTGCAACCACACAGGGGCAGACTGACAACTCATGGGGTCCCCAGGCAATAGGGGATCATGGGGCCCCTGTGTCCTTGCCCACACTCAAACCACGCCCAAAAAAGCCTATGAAAAAGCCTATGAAATGTACCAGTGGCATCTCATGGGGCCCCTACTGACCCCGGGCCCTCGGGCAGTACCTGAGTGCCTAAATGGTCAGTCTGCCCCTGCAACCTTATGTTACCAACCTTTGGCTTGTTCCTTGACTACACTTCCACACAATCCCAACCTGCAACTGCATGTTACCAACCTTTGGCTTGTTCCCTGACTACACTTCAGCTCAATCCTAACCTGCAACCACTTGTTACCAACCTTTGGCTTTTTCCCTGACTACACTTCAGCTCAATCCTAACCTTCAACCACATGTTACAAACTTTTGGCTTGTTCCTTGACTTACACTTCTGCACAATCCCAACCTGCAAACAGTTGTTACCAACCTTTGGCTTGTCCCTTGACTACACTTCTGCACAGTCCCAACCTGCAACCACGTTACCAACCTTTGGTTTGTTCCTTGACTACACTTCAGCTCAATCCCAACCTGCAACCACGTTACCAACCTTTGGCTTGTTCCTTGACTACACTTCAGCTCAATCCCAACCTGCATCCACGTTACCAACCTTTGGTTTGTTCCTTGACTACACTTCAGCTCAATCCCAACCTGCAACCACATGTTACCAACCTTTGGCTTGTTCCTTGACTTCCACTTCCACACAATCCCATCCTGCAAACAGTTTTTATCGACCTTTGTCTTGTTACGGACTGTTTTGCTTGATCCTTACCTGCTGTATCTGCTACTAAATCCCGTCTTGTTAACTTCCTGGTTGGACGATCCTGAGGACTGCAACCTAACCCTAGCATACAGCAAAACCTCTACAAGCAGGAGCTCTGATGAATACCGGTTAGTGCTCAGACCCTGCACCTCGTGGGAGCCTGCGTCATCCTCCTGAGGGACCAGCTTGTGTTCTTGTCCATCTGGTTGGTGGTAGCCTTCCTACTGCTATTGCTACTGATATCCTCGCCTGATCCCTAACCGTGATGATAACTGGATGATGTGACTGGTGATGGATTTACATCATGGGGTATTTTTGAGGTCTTTTTGATTTTTTTATTAAATGACTTGTGAATTCGTGTGTGCAGAAATTTACTGTTGACATTTATTTGAATGAGTAGGGGTATTATTTACCCCTCACTCAATAACATGGGGGCCCCCTTATTGTTATAGAGGACTTACAGATTCTGATAAGCCCCCCAGTTGTAGACCAACACAACCACTGGGCCAGAGTTGTGGGAAAGAGGCCCTTCCCATCAACATGGGATAAGGTGCTTTTGTAGGGGGTCTTCCCTGGCAAGGTACCCCTTATGTTGAGGGTATGTTTCAGGGGGGGGGTGTCACTCCCCCTCCTTTCTTGGTGTGCCAGGCTGCAAGATCAGATAAGGGTCTGCTAAGGTTTTTAGGATGGCTCACACTTTTTTCTTCTTGTTCTTTTGTATATGGTTCCTCCTTAAAATATATATACCAGGTTTTAATTTAAGGTATGGAAATTGGTTGGGGCATGTTTTGTGTTTTTAACTTCTCCCCCCATACCAGACCCTCATCAAGGATAAGGAGCTGATGCATTTTTAGGGGGTCCCCCATTTTGCTTTGGTACATGTCCCCAGAGCAGTGTACCCCCCCCCCCCCACACACACACATGCCGTATGTTTGACAATCCCTTGCCTATTAGCCTAGAAAACTCGGCTCCCATTGACTTCAATAGGGCTCAGACATGACCAGGGGCGGACTGACAACTCATGGGGCCCCCGGGCAATAGGGGATCATGGGGCCCCTGTGTCCTTGCTCACACCCAAAAAAAGCCTATGAAACAGCCAATGAAAGGTACCAGGGGCATCTCATGGGGCCCCCTACTGACCCCGGGCTCTCGGGCAGTGCCTGAGTGCTTGAATGGTCAGTCCACCCCTGGACATGACCATATTAGCTGGCCGACAAGACTGATGATGGATCTCCATTGTGGGCTTGCCAAAAAGTGTGTTTATTTATTATTCAAATTTTTTGAAGGAAGAGCAGCACCACCATGTACCTCTTACCAATAACATAAGGGAGCACTATTTGGGTGACCCCCCCCCCTTATTCTTAAAGGGGGTTTCTAGAGTCGCATAAGCCCCTGTTTTGCAGATCCCTACAACCACTGGACCAGGGTTGTTGTGGAGAAGAGGCCCTTATTCTCATCAACATGGGTTGAGATGCTTTTCCGGGGGGGGTTCTTCCGACAAGGTACCCCCATGTTAAGGTCTGGTATGGTTCAGGAGGGGGTCAATACAGCTGATTTTTACAAAGAAGAAAATGAAAGTTAGACTGCAGGTAAAAACAGCCCCCAGCCACTTCCCTTTGTAAAAAAAAAAACAACACTGGGGAGGGGGATTCCCCTCATCTCTATACTAGGCCCTTATCCTACAAGAGGTATAGATGTTAATGTGGGGCCCCACCAACAATTTCCATCTAAAAATACATACCAGCCCCTTATCCTTGATGAGTGTCTGGTAAGGAAGACAGTGGGTGCCAAATCCTTAACAACTACCGACATCACCGAGCCCATTCACAAAGGGGACCCCCCCAAAATACATACCAGACCCTTCTCCTGTTTGATCCTCCTTGATAATGCCTGGTATGTATTTTGGGGGGGTCCCCAATGGATTATTTACAAAATAAAGGAAGCTTACGTGGAAAAAGTGAATGAAAAGCATTTTGGATGGCTTTGTATCCTTTTTTAACCCCTTGCCTACAGGACACTTCTACCCCCTTCCTGCCTACAGGGCACTTCTACCCCCTTCCTGCCTACAGGGCACTTCTACCCCCTTCCTGCCTACAGGGCACTTCTACCCCCTTCCTGCCTACAGGACACTTCTACCCCCTTCCTGCCTACCGGGCACTTCTACCCCCTTCCTGCCTACAGGGCACTTCTACCCCCTTCCTGCCTACAGGGCACTTCTACCCCCCCTTCCTGCCTACCGGGCACTTCTACCCCCTTCCCGCCTACAGAGCACTTCTACCCCCTTCCTGCCTACAGGGCACTTCTACCCCCTTCCTGCCTACCATACACTTCTACCTCCTTCCTGCCTACAGGGCACTTCTACCCCCTTCCTGCCTACAGGACACTTCTACCCCCTTCCTGCCTACAGGGCACTTCTACCCCCTTCCCGCCTACAGGGCACTTCTACCCCCTTCCTGCCTACAGGACACTTCTACCCCCTTCCTGCCTACCGGGCACTTCTACCCCCTTCCTGCCTACCGGGCACTTCTACCCCCTCCCCTGCCTACAGGGCACTTCTACCCCCTTCCTGCCTACAGGGCACTTCTACCCCCTTCCTGCCTACAGGGCACTTCTACCCCCTTCCTGCCTACAGGGCACTTCTACCCCCTTCCTGCCTACAGGGCACTTCTACCCCCTTCCTGCCTACAGGACACTTCTACCCCCTTCCTGCCTACAGGGCACTTCTACCCCCTTCCTGCCTTCCGGGCACTTCTACCCCCTTCCTGCCTACCGGACACTTCTACCCCCTTCCTGCCTACAGGGCACTTCTACCCCACTTCCTGCCTACAGGGCACCTCTACCCCCTTCCTGCCCACCGGGCACTTCTACCCCCTTCCTGCCTACCGGGCACTTCTACCCCCTTCCTGCCTACCGGGCATTTCCACCCCCTCCCTGCCTACAGGGCACTTCTACCCCCTTCCTGCCTACAGGGCACTTCTACCCCCTTCCTGCCCACCGGGCACTTCTACCCCCTTCCTGCCTACAGGGCACTTCTACCCCCTTCCTGCCCACCGGGCACTTCTACCCCCTTCCTGCCTACAGGGCACTTCTACCCCCTTCCTGCCTACAGGGCACTTCTACCCCCTTCCCGCATACAGGGCACTTCTACCCCCTTCCTGCCTACAGGACACTTCTACCCCCTTCCTGCCTACCGGGCACTTCTACCCCCTTCCTGCCTACCGGGCACTTCTACCCCCTCCCTGCCTACAGGGCACTTCTACCCCCTTCCTGCCTACAGGGCACTTCTACCCCCTTCCTGCCTACAGGACACTTCTACCCCCTTCCTGCCTACCGGGCACTTCTACCCCCCTTCCTGCCTACCGGGCACTTCTACCCCCTCCCTGCCTACAGGGCACTTCTACCCCCTTCCTGCCTACAGGGCACTTCTACCCCCTTCCTGCCCACCGGGCACTTCTACCCCCTTCCTGCCTACAGGGCACTTCTACCCCCTTCCTGCCCACCGGGCACTTCTACCCCCTTCCTGCCTACAGGGCACTTCTACCCCCTCCTGCCTACAGGGCACTTCTACCCCCTTCCCGCATACAGGGCACTTCTACCCCCTTCCTGCCTACAGGACACTTCTACCCCCTTCCTGCCTACCGGGCACTTCTACCCCCTTCCTGCCTACCGGGCACTTCTACCCCCTCCCTGCCTACAGGGCACTTCTACCCCCTTCCTGCCTACAGGGCACTTCTACCCCCTTCCTGCCTACAGGACACTTCTACCCCCTTCCTGCCTACAGGGCACTTCTACCCACTTCCTGCCTACAGGGCACTTCTACCCCCTTCCTGCCTACAGGGCACTTCTACCCCCTTCCTGCCTACCGGGCACTTCTACCCCTTTCCTGCCTACCGGACACTTCTACCCCCTTCCTGCCTACAGGACACTTCTACCCCCTTCCTGCCTACCGGACACTTCTACCCCCTTCCTGCCTACCGGGCACTTCTACCCCCTTCCTGCCTTCCGGGCACTTCTACCCCCTTCCTGCCTACCGGACACTTCTACCCCCTTCCTGCCTACAGGGCACTTCTACCCCCTTCCTGCCTACAGGGCACTTCTACCCCCTTCCTGCCCACCGGGCACTTCTACCCCCTTCTGCCTACAGGGCACTTCTACCCCCTTCCTGCCCACCGGGCACTTCTACCCCCTTCCTGCCTACAGGGCACTTCTACCCCCTTTCTGCCTACAGGACACTTATACCCCCTCCTGCCTACAGGACACTTATACCCCCTTCCTGCCCAGGCCAATTTCCAGCTTTCAGCGCTGTCACACTTTGAATGACAATTGCGCTGTCATGCAACACTGTACTCATATGAAATTTTTATAATTTTTTTTTGTGACAGATAGAGCTTTATTTTGGTGGTATTTAATCACCTCGCGGTTTTTTATTTTTTTTATTAAACAAACCAAAAACCGCTGAAAATTTTGAAAAAAAATGTTTTTTCTTAGTTTTTGTTATACAATTTTGTAAATAAGTGATTTTTCTACTTCACTGATGTGCGCTAATGAGGCTGCAGTGATGGACACTGATAGGTGGCACTGATGAGGAGGCACTGGTAGGCATCACTGATGGGCACTGATAGGCGGCACTGATATGGCACTGATAGGCGGCACTGACTGGCACTGTTAGGTGGCATTGACTGGCACTGTTAGGTGGCACTGACTGGCACTGTTAGGTGACACTGACTGGCACTGTTAGGCGGCACTGATGGGTACTGATAGGCGGCACTGATGCACAATGATAGACGGCACTGACTGGCACTGATAGGTGGCACTGACTGGCACCGATGGGTGACACTGACTGGCATTGATAGGCGGCACTGACTGGCACTGATAGGTGGCACTGACTGGCACTGATGGGTGACTGACTGGAATTGATAGGTGGCACTGACTGGCACTGATATGTGGCACTGATTGGCAGCACTGATAAGTGGCACTGACTGGCACTGATAGGTGACACTGAAAGGCAGCTCAGATGGGCATTGATATGTGGCATTGATGTGCACTGGTAGGCACTGATATGTGGCATTGATGTGGCACTAATGGGTACTGGTACGTGGCACTGTTCAGCACTAACAGCTGGCACTGATGGACACTGACAGGTGGCACTTCTGGGGCCACACTGATGATCAGTGCCCATGTCCCCTTCGAGGAATGCCGATCACCGGCTCTCCTCTCCTCTCAGCGTGACAGCTCGAGAGGAGAGAAATGCCGATAACCGGCATTTCCATGTTTACATGTGATCAGCTGTGATTGGACACAGCTGATCACATGACCGAACCGACATCTTCGGCTATAGCCATTGATCAGTGATCCAACGTGTCCGAGGGACACAGCACACCACCGATTGCCACGCTGCACTCTCCCGGAGCCGCGCATGCGCGGTGAGAATGGAAGGACATCATATGACTCCTCCCAGAAGGAGAGAACCGCCCTGCGCCCGTCATTGGACTATATGGCGGGTGGGAGGTGGTTAAATATCACTTTTGTTTATACTAGTTTGTTTCCATGGGGGAGATGCCCCACTTCAGAGGTAGGTTTAGAGGGCCCCAAGTAGGTTGTCTTTTCTTAAAGGAATAATGCACTTTAATGTTACACTTTCAGCGTTATTACGTTCATCGCTCTCTCAAAAATTGTATTTTTATTTTTTTCCTTTTTTGGCTTCGGGCAGTGCCCACCCTCCATGCAGATGTTTTGCCAATCCCTGTAGTTGTTTAGTAGTCCAGGGTGAGAGCGAGGAGGCCTAATGAATGTACCGGAGATAACACAGGCAGAGCGCAGGATACGGGATAAGGTCTGCATTTCTGGCAGGATCAACGGGTGCTGTTTTGCACTTACAGATCAGATAAAACAAAACACTTTGAATAGTATATTTAAAAAAAAACAAAAAGGGCCAAAGAAGAGAAGTTCGTTGTTGGGATTTGAATGCACTTAAATCTATCCGTGGTTCCTTTAGTGCTGTGTCCATTAGGAAAGGTTCCCACTATCCCTGTGCTGAGTTCCCGGGTCTGTACACCTGCTGTGCCCATTATGAGGGGTTCCCACCATCCCTGTGCTGAGTTCCCGGGTCTGTACACCCGCTGTGCCCATTATGAGGGGTTCCCACCATCCCTGTGCTGAGTTCCCGGGTCTGTACACCCGCTGTGCCCATTACAAGGGCATCCCACCATCCCTGTGCTGAGTTCCCGGGTCTGTACACCCATTGTGCCCATTATGAGGGGTTCCCACTATCCCTGTGCTGAGTTCCCGGGTCTGTACACCTGCTGTGCCCATTATGAAGGGTTTCCCACCATCCCTGTGCTGAGTTCCCGGGTCTGTACACCTGCTGTGCCCATTATGAGGGGTACCCACTATCCCTGTGCTGAGTTCCCGGGTCTGTACACCTGCTGTGCCCATTATGAGGGGTTCCCACCATCCCTGTGCTGAGTTCCCGGGTCTGTACACCCACTGTGCCCATTACGAGGGCATCCCACCATCCCTGTGCTGAGTTCCCGGGTCTGTACACCCATTGTGCCCATTATGAGGAGTTCCCACCATCCCTGTGCTGGGTTCCTGGGTCTGTACACCCGCTGTGCCCATTATGAGGGGTTCCCACCATCCCTGTGCTGAGTTCCCGGGTCTGTACACCCGCTGTGCCCATTATGAGGGGTTCCCACCATCCCTGTGCTGAGTTCCCAGGTCTGTACACCCGCTGTGCCCATTATGAGGGGTTCCCACCATCCCTGTGCTGAGTTCCCAGGTCTGTACACCCGCTGTGCCCATTATGAGGGGTTCCCACCTTCCCTGTGCTGAGTTCCCGGGTCTGTACACCCGCTGTGTCCATTAGGAAAGGTTCCCACTATCCCTGTGCTGAGTTCCCGGGTCTGTACACCCGCTGTGCCCATTATGAGGGGTTCCCACCATCCCTGTGCTGAGTACCCGGGTCTGTACACCCGCTGTGCCCATTATGAGGGGTTTCCTCCATCCCTGTGCTGAGTTCCCGGGTCTGTACACCCGCTGTGCCCATTATGAGGGGTTCCCACCTTCCCTGTGCTGAGTTCCCGGGTCTGTACACCCGCTGTGCCCATTGTAAGGGGTTCCCACCATCCCTGTGCTGAGTTTCCTGAGGCCTAGGTCACGTTTTAGAGCTGGAACTCAAGGATGACCTTCATTTGATAGGATTTCTTGGATATGATCCAGTTGCTGCACGTTGTGTCAGTATTCCTGCAGATCCGCGAAGACACCTAAATGTTCAGTCTGAGATGAAGAGCTTTAATATCACCCGAGTGGCTCTTTGGGAAGGTGTGTCACAGAAGATGCCAAATGCCTATCGGAAGGATAAACGGCTTTGACCGTAAAATATTTGTCTCACCGACGGCCGGCATTTTCAGGAGCTGATAAAAGGTGCGGGAGATTGTTCTGAAGCCTGAGGCTGGATAATGATCTCCACGGCTGAACATGACACCCATCACCCCGAGATTGAAGAGACGACATAAAAATAAAACCAGACAGCTACGAACATCAGCAATAAATATGTTTTCGGAGAATTCCCAGAGCTTCCCGCCTCACCCCCCCCCCCCCGATAAGAGCGCTAATTTATATCCATGCGTTTTGTTTTTTTCCAGCGCGTTGCGTTCCTCACCACGTCTCTGACTTTAATATCTATCTTGCTGTCTTTTTAACCCCTTCCAGTCCGGAAGCTTTCCCCCCCTTCCAGTCCAGACTCTTTCCCCCCCTTCCAGTCCGGACACTTCCCCCCTGCCAGTCCAGACTCTTTCCCCCCCCCTTCAAGTCCAGACTCTTTCCCCCCCTTCCAGTCCGGACACTTCCCCCCCTTCCAGTCCAGACTCTTTCCCCCCCTTCCAGTCCGGACACTTCCCCCCCTTCCAGTCCGGACACTTTCACCCCCTTCCAGTCCAGACACTTTCACCCCCTTCCAGTCCGGACACTTTCACCCCCTTCCAGTCCGCATACTTTCCCCCCTTCCAGTCCGGACACTTTCCCCCCCTTCCAGTCCGGACACTTTCACCCCCCTTCCAGTCCGGACACTTTCACCCCCTTCCAGTCTGGACACTTTCCCCCCTTCCAGTCTGGACACTTTCCCCCCTTCCAGTCCGGACACTTTCCCCCCTTCCAGTCCGGACACTTTCCCGCCCCCTTCCAGTCCGGACACTTTCCCGCCCCCTTCCAGTCCGGACACTTTCCCGCCCCCTTCCAGTCCGGACACTTTCCCGCCCCCTTCCAGTCCGGACACTTTCCCCCCCTTCCAGTCCAGACTCTTTCCCCCCCTTCCAGTCCGGACACTTCCCCCCTGCCAGTCCAGACTCTTTCCCCCCCTTCAAGTCCAGACTCTTTCCCCCCCTTCCAGTCCGGACACTTCCCCCCCTTCCAGTCCAGACTCTTTCCCCCCCTTCCAGTCCGGACACTTCCCCCCCCTTCCAGTCCGGACACTTCCCCCCCTTCCAGTCCGGACACTTTCACCCCCTTCCAGTCCGGACACTTTCACCCCCTTCCAGTCCGGACACTTTCACCCCCTTCCAGTCCGGACGCTTCCCCCCCTTCCAGTCCGGACGCTTTCACCCCCCCTTCCAGTCCGGACGCTTTCACCCCCTTCCATTCCGGACACTTTCACCCCCTTCCAGTCCGGACACTTTCCCCCCTTCCAGTCCGGACACTTTCCCCCCCTTCCAGTCCGGACACTTTCACCCCCCTTCCAGTCCGGACGCTTCCCCCCCTTCCAGTCCGGACGCTTTCACCCCCTTCCAGTCCGGACGCTTTCACCCCTTCCATTCCGGACACTTTCACCCCCTTCCAGTCCGGACACTTTCCCCCCCTTCCAGTCCGGACACTTTCACCCCCCTTCCAGTCCGGACGCTTCCCCCCCTTCCAGTCCGGACGCTTTCACCCCCTTCCAGTCCGGACGCTTTCACCCCCTTCCATTCCGGACACTTTCACCCCCTTCCATTCCGGACACTTTCACCCCCTTCCAGTCAGGACACTTTCCCTCCCTTCCAGTCTGGACACTTTCCCCCCTTCCAGTCCGGACACTTTCCCCCCCTTCCAGTCCGGACACTTTCACCCCCTTCCAGTCCGGACACTTTCCCCCCCTTCCAGTCCGGACACTTTCCCCCCCTTCCAGTCCGGACACTTTCACCCCCTTCCTGTCCGGACACTTTCCCCCCCTTCCTGTCCGGACACTTTCCCCCCCTTCCAGTCCGGACACTTTCCCCCCCTTCCAGTCCGGACACTTTCACCCCCTTCCTGTCCGGACACTTTCCCCCCCTTCCAGTCCGGACACTTTCCCCCCCTTCCAGTCCGGACACTTTCACCCCCTTCCTGTCCGGACACTTTCCCCCCCTTCCAGTCCGGACACTTTCCCCCCCTTCCAGTCCAGGCCAATTTTCAGCTTTCAGCGCTATCACACTTTGACAATTGTGCGGTCATGCAACACTGTACCCATATTTTAGCATTTTTTGAGACAGATAAAACTTTATTTTGGTGGTATTTATTCACCTCTGGGATTTTTTTTTTGCTGTATAAATGAAAAAGTCCAAACATTTTGAAAAAAAAAGTATTTTTCTTATAAAATTTTGCAAATAAATAATTATTTCTTCATAAATCTTGGCCAGATTGTATTCAGTTATCTTTTTAGTAAAAAAAAAATAATCAAAATTAGTTTATAGCCAAAAATTATAATTTTTTTTTACATTTTTATTTTTTTTATATTATATATGTTTTTTTATTAACATACTGTCACCCTAGCAGTAGTATCACCATGGTGACACTGTACTACTTGTGGGGGGTGATGAAGATTTTTTTTTTTACACTGATTGCTTTTACACCCATAAAGGCTGTAAAAGCAATCATTTCTCCTTCTCTCTGGCTGCATTCTTGCAGCCATTGAGAAATACTGTGTGAGCGGTGACTGGTCACAGCTTGTCACATGGTACAAGACTGTTGTGAATAGCCCTGTACCATGTGACCTCTGTGATCATTCACAGATTTCACACGTAGTAAGCAATGATGTCACAAAGTGACATCTTGCTTACTACTATTCATGTGATCACTGATTGGCCAATCAGCGATCACATGATCGGGACCTCACACAGAGGTCCTGTACAGCGATCGGTCCTCCGGACACAGCGGGCACCGGATCGCGGTGCCATTTTCACTCCCAGGGAGCACGCACAGGCTCAAAATGTGGCGCCGTTTATGGATGGCAACCCGCTCCTGCACTGCGTTTATATACAGCGGCCGGACGGGAAGTGGTTAAAAAAAAAAAATTTTCAAGTCAATTAAAGGCAGACGTAATTTATGTTGTGATTTGCGGGGACTCGCTGCGCATATGGCGTTTGTTCGCTTGGCTGCCTGTACACAAATGTTTGCACTTTTGACAATTTGACTTGCGTTTTCGGGTGAGTTTGATGCATTATGAGCGGCGGACGGAGACGGAGGGCTGAGAGGCTTCCCATCCTTCACCTTAATTTAAAAAACAGTCTTCGGTGAGTTATGCCTCGCTCCCTCGTTTTGCACGCCGTCGCCGTGGGACGCGGCTTCTTATCAGGTGTTGGATGAAAAGAAGAGAGAAAAATGATCCCTTCATTATTCCGGGGGGGGGGGGGGGGGGGGGGGGTGGAGACGACTCTTCTGAAGTCGCAGCCTCGCCTCCCGCGCCCTTTCATGCGAAGGGAATTAATGCGGCGGCTTTGTTTGTTCTGCCGAGTGATCTGGCCTGCGATCAAAATAATTCGGGACAAGGGGCAGGCAGAGCAGACGCATTAACTCTGAACCCTGCGGGCAACACTAACAAAAAAAATATCAAATTTCAATATTGCTTAGTAAAAAAAATAATCCCTTGTAGGCCAAGTATACACTGCAGGAACTTCGCAATTGTTTTTTTTTTTTCTATCAGAATCTTGTGAGCAAATGTTATTGTAGGTTCATACATGGTTGAGGTCAGGACTCTGTGCAGGACAGTCAAGTCCCTCCACCCCAAACTGGCTCCTCCATGTCTTTATGGACCTTGCTTTGTGCACTGGTGGGCAGTCATGTTGGAACAGGAAGGGGCCATCCCCAAACTCTTCCCACAAAATTGGGAGCATGAAATTGTCCAAAATGTCACCTTAAGAGTTCCCTTCACTGGAACTAGGGGGCCAAGCCCAACCCCTAAAAAACAACCCCACACCATACTCCCCCCTCCACCAAACTTTGCACTTGGCACAATGTAGTCAGGCAAGTACCGTTCTCCTGGCCACCGCCAAACCCAGACACGTCTATCGGATTGCCAGACAGAGAAACGTGGTTGGTTGCTCCAAAGAACACGTCTCCCCTGCTCTAGAGTCCAGTGGCGGCGTGCTTTACACCACGGCATCCGACGCTTTGCATTGCACTTAGTGATGGAAGGCTTGGATGCCGCTGCTCGGCCATGGAAACCCATTCCATGAAGCTCTCTACGCACTGTTGTTGGGCTCATCTGAAGGCCACACCAAGTTTGGAGGTCTTTAGCTATTGACTCTGCAGACAGTTGGCGACTTCTGCGCACTGTGCGCTTCAGCATGCGCTGACCCCGCCCTGTCATGTGACGTGGCCTACCACTTGGTGGCTGAGTTGCTGTTGTTCCCAGTTGCTTCCACTTTGTTATAATCCCACTAACAGTTGAGCGTGGAATATTTAGTAGCCAGGAAATGTCACGGATGGACTTATTGCCCAGGTGACCACCTATCACGGGACCACGCTTGGAGTCACTGAGCTCCTGAGAGCGACCCATTCTTTCACCAATGTTTGTAGAAGCCGTCTGCATGCCTAGGGGATGGATTGTATACACCTGTGTCCATGGAGGGGATTGGAACACCTGAATCACATGATTGGGAGGGGATTGGAACACCTGAATCACATGATTGGGAGGGGATTGGAACACCTGAATCACATGATTTGGAGGGGATTGGAACACCTGAATCACATGATTTGGAGGGGATTGGAACACCTGACTCACATGATTGGGAGGGGATTGGAACACCTGAATCACATGATTGGGAGGGGATTGGAACACCTGAATCACATGATATGGAGGGGATTGGAACACCTGAATCACATGATTTGGAGGGGATTGGAACACCTGAAACACATGATATGGAGGGGATTGGAACACCTGAATCACATGATTTGGAGGGGACTGGAACACCTGAATCACATGATTTGGAGGGGATTGGAACACCTGAATCACATGATTTGGAGGGGACTGGAACGCCTGAATCACATGATTTGGAGGGGATTGGAACGCCTGAATCACATGATTGGGAGGGGATTAAAACGCCTGAATCACATGATCGGGAGGGGATTGGGACACCTGAATCACATGATTGGGAGGGGATTGGAACACCTGAATCACATGATATGGAGGGGATTGGAACACCTGAATCACATGATCGGGAGGGGATTGGAACACCTGAATCACATGATCGGGAGGGGATTGGAACACCTGAATCACATGATCGGGAGGGGATTCAAACACCTGAATCACATGATTGGGAGGGGATTCAAACACCTGAATCACATGATTGGGAGGGGATTCAAACACCTGAATCACATGATTGGGAGGGGATTCAAACACCTGAATCACATGATTTGGAGGGGGGCCCAATACTTTTGGCAATATACTGTATATATATAATTCATTATGTACAACACTAGAAAAGACATTTAAAGGGAAGTCCAGATTTTTCCTGTCTTGCATCTGTAAAACAAAAATAAAATCATCTTTTGCTACAATACTCACCTTAGGTCTAACGCTGCCCACCCCCTTCCCCCCTATAGTACTTCCTGTTTGTGTCTTTCAAAAATTGATGGCCAGCACCACTGATCCTGTGAGCTCAGGCTGTCATAGAATGGCCTCCTGGGGTGGCGTTTGTAACCAGTCTGGGCTCACAATACTCCTGCACTGAGTACTGCTCACATGTAATAGGCCATACATTGCAGGCTGAATGGAAACTGTCATGGGCCAACCCTTTGGGGTAGTATCATCAACCAGCCTGGGCTCACAGTACTCCTGCAGTGTACACTTCGCAGAGATCATTGGCCATAAACTGCAGGCTGAGCAAAAAAAAATCTAAGCGATTCCTCCATCTGTGCCCTACAGCATGGATGTCCAGCATTGTCCATTCTGTGAGCTCAGTCTGTCCCGGACAAGCCCCCAGGTTGGCATCATCAATGAGTCTGGGCTCACAGTACTCCTAGAATTAGCAGTGCTCACACATCATTGGCCATACATTGCTAATCCATGCTATACATCAGGGAATCTGCAATGCCTACTATTGTATTTTGTCAGCGAGCACTGGCAGCTGTCAGTATACCAGGACAGCAGCTGCATCTGCTTGAATCCAGCTGCTGTTCAGTTGACAATTTTCCTACTTTCCTTTGATTTTTCAATTGAAAAATTTTAGGCAGGAGGGTGTCAAAAGTACCGCCCACGAGCAAATTTTTGTCCGGTTTCTGATTAAATGCGCTTAGCTTATGACCATCTTTGGTCTAAGGCTCAGTTCACACTAGCTTTGTCAGCAGGCATCAGACAGGTGTTTGGGAAGCGTTTTTAAAACTTCCCAAATGCCTATGAAAATTCAGCACATGGCAGCACACAGTGCTGTTCAGACTAAAGCTTTAGCATCGCGTCGCAGCAAAACTGACGCCTCATGTCGAGTCAGGAGGAGTTGAAGCCTCCCATTCAAGTCTATGATGCCGCTCCTCAAACTCCTGGCAGGTGTTTGCGGGGCGTTTGCTGAGCGTTTAGACCATTTAATTTCATTATAGGAGTTTGTGGTGCGGATTTAACACTTCAAACGGCTCAAAACCGCGCATAGGGTGTTTGGGGAGCGTTAAAAACACTTCACAAACGCCTGTCTAACGCTATAGGGGCATTTGGCAAGAGTTAGAAATGAGTCAAGTGTGAACGAGTCCTAAGAGGATGGACTCCCAACCACCACAGAGGAAGAAAAGGAAGGGCCCATGTGGTCACCGGACCAACCTAAGACTTCAGGAATAAAATGCATTGGCGTAAGGTTCAGTTTTAGGGGGCTTCCAGTAGAGAGGGAGGAAAGGGATCAAGCTAGAGTTTGGATTTCTTCATAGTTTCAAAGGTTTGATGGTAAAAATACAAGTACTTGAAACATTATTATTATTATTATTATTATTATACAGGATTTTTTATTATTATTATTATTGTACAGGATTTATTATTATTATTATTATTATTATTATTATACAGGATTTATTATTATTATTGTTATTATACAGGATTTATTATTATTAATATTATTATTATTATTATACAGGATTTATTATTATTATTATTATTATACAGGATTTATTATTATTGTTATACAGGATTTATTATTATTATTATTATTATTATTATTTATTATTATTATACAGGTTTTATTATTATTATTATTATTATTATTATTATACAGGATTTTTTATTATTATTATTATTATTATTATTGTTATTATACAGGATTTATTATTATTAATATTATTATTATTATTATACAGGATTTATTATTATTGTTATACAGGATTTATTATTATTATTATTATTATTATTATTATACAGGTTTTATTATTATTATTATTATTATTATTATATACAGGATTTATTATTATTATTATTATACAGGATTTATTATTATTGTTATTGTACAGGATTTATTATTATTATTGTTATTATACAGGATTTATTATTATTATTATTATTATTATTATTGTACAGGATTTATTATTATTATTATTATTATTATTATTATTATTATTATACAGGATTTATTATTATTATTGTTATTATACAGGATTTATTATTATTAATATTATTATTATTATTATACAGGATTTATTATTATTATTATTATACAGGATTTATTATTATTGTTATACAGGATTTATTATTATTATTATTATTATTATTATACAGGTTTTATTATTATTATTATTATTATTATTATTATTATTTATATACAGGATTTATTATTATTATTGTTATTATACAGGATTTATTATTATTAATATTATTATTATTATTATTATACAGGATTTATTATTATTGTTATACAGGATTTATTATTATTATTATTATTATACAGGTTTTATTATTATTATTATTATTATTATTATTATTATACAGGATTTATTATTATTGTTATTATACAGGATTTATTATTATTATTGTTATTATACAGGATTTATTATTATTATTATTATTATTATTATTATTGTTATTATACAGGATTTATTATTATTATTATTATTATTATACAGGATTTATTATTATTATTATTATTATTATTATTATTATTATACAGGATTTAATATTATTATTATTATTATTATTATTATACAGGATTTATTATTATTGTTATTATACAGGATTTATTATTATTATTATTATTATTATTATACAGGATTTATTATTATTGTTATTATACAGGATTTATTATTATTATTATTATTATTATTATACAGGTTTTATTATTATTATTATTATTATACAGGATTTATTATTGTTATTATACAGGATTTATTATTATTATTATTATTATTATTATTATTATTATTATACAGGATTTATTATTATTGTTATTATACAGGATTTATTATTATTATTATTATTATTATTATTATACAGGATTATTATTATTATTATTATACAGGATTTATTATTGTTATTGTTATTATACAGGATTTATTATTATTATTATTATTATTATTATTATACACAGGTTTTATTATTATTATTATTATTATTATACAGGATTTATTATTATTGTTATTATATAGGATTTATTATTATTATTATTATTATTATACTACATGATTTAATATTATTATTATACAGAATTTATTATTATTATTATTATTATTATTATACAGGATTTATTATTACTATTATTATTATTATTATTATTATTATTATACAGGATTTTTTTTTATTATTATTATTATACAGGATTTATTATTATTATTATTATTATTATTATTATACAGGATTTATTATTATTTTTATTATACAGGATTTATATATTATTATTATACAGGATTTATGGCGCCAACAGTTTGCTCAGCGCTTTACAATATAACGGGAGACAATACAGCAACAATACAGTTCAATACAAGAGGGAAAGGAGGGCCCTGATCCTGGGAGCTTACAATCTAGGAGAATATCAACGCTTTCCCAGAGGAAGAATAGCCCTGCTCCTCCACCACGACGGGGTTTTGCTTTGTGTCTTTTGAGATCCCTTCACAGTAAAGCAAGGAAGCAATAAAACATCTGTAGTGTATGAATGTTCTTTACTAAACAAAAACGCTGTACACGCAATTCAAATTGAGATTGAAAAACAACTCAAGACATACAAAGTATTACAGACATACATGCACAACTCATGCACAACTCATGCACATGCTACCCAATATTCCTAGCGAATGAGCATGAGCAATGGTCTGCATACGATAGGAATACTCTAAATGTTACGTATCTCAGGTATAGCATCTTCACAGTCTCATTGGGCAGCCAAGGCCCGGGCTTACTCTACAAGTGATTGCAAGAAATTGTCTGCAAGCTTCATTCAGGTGAAGTTTCTTCTTTGGTCCTTTGAAGTCCCCTCTGGCATAGATCTTCTTCTTTGTTATGTCATGGAGTCCTCCCAGGGGCGTTCCTAGGCAGGTGCGGGGGGTGACACTTTTTGTACAGGGGTGACACTGGACCCGCTCCACTAGGGGCGGACTGCCCGAGGGCCTGGGGTCATGGCTGTATATGCCACTACTGAAATAAGCAAGCATTGAGGGGACAGACACTGGGGCAGGCACTTCGGACACCTCTCCTCCTCGGAGTTTCAACAGAGGGGCAGGTCCACATCCCTGCCATGGGTTCTGAAGTCGGAGAGCTGGAAGGGCAGGCAGAGTATGCAGCAGGTCAGTGTGTCATCCCCGACCCTGGTGACAGCACTGCAGCTTCATGTAGTAGGTAGGGGGCAGCGGGGGAGAGAGGGCAGAGAGAGAGAGGGGGGGGGTGTGTCACCAAGTGTTCCCGCATCGGGACGCCACTGAGTCCTCCAAAACTACTTCACATGGCATAGTTCAAATTCCTACTTCCTGCGGACATCACTTCCTGATGCATGAGCTCCATGAACCAGCTAAACAAGTTCATTAGCATATGACTAGGGGAGGTCTAGCTTCTAAAAACAATACATGGTAACCAAAATGCATCATTCCATCTATTTTTACTATTAAATAAATCCACTAAAATAGTTATAGCAACACGCATTCAAATTGAAATTTTTTCACAGTTTCAAAGGTTTTATTGTAAAAAAAAACAAAACACAGTACGTGAAACATCAACACTTGCCCTGAGGAAGAAAAGCCCTACTCCTCCAACAGGATGGCTGCCTCCACA